ATTTTGGTATCGTCTGCAAACAGCAGAGTTTGTGGTCCGAGGACGTCTGGAAGATCATTTATAAAGGCGAGGATTACTGGTTTACTTCGCAGCTTCTGGTCGGACGAGCGTATCCCTCTAACCTGGGCTGAATCGTTAATCATTTCTTTCTTCAAGAAGGGACCACGCGCAACGACTGCGCAAACCACCACGGGTCAAGTTTAGTTCCCATCATCACAAAATGTGATACTTCACCTCTTGACATCTTTAGGGGAGATGAATAATCGCTGACTGAAAGCGGGATTCCGACCAGGTCGCGTTTTCATCGATCAACTGTTCATCTTGTGTCAAATTCCCGAATTGAACCACACACTTTCGACAAAAAATCGCAGTGTTCCTTGACCTAGAAGGCGCCTTCGATTCAGTTGATCGTGAATCCCTAATGGGTGCCTTGCTTCGCAAAGGAATACCGCAGAAGTATGTCAAGCTTGTGCTGTCACTGCCCTTACATACCTCGATGAGCTAAGCAAATCTCTGGAAACCAGGAGCGATTCTCGTCAAGGGTGCGCTATTTCCCCATTCCTATTCAGTGTCTTCAGAATCCTGTATTAAGCTCTCTAAAGCCTCAATACAATACAATACAATACAAACGTAGACGAAATACTGGAGAACGCACTAAGTGATCTCGAAGATGTTGATTTCGAATGGGCCGCTCGAGAAAAGCCGTGCGATTTGAAGTATGCGGATAAAATCGTCTGTCTATTCGGATGTATAGAGGATGCACAAAGCGCACTTGACAGACTGACAAGTTCTGTTGCTCTATTCGGCATGCGCTTTGCAACTTTGAAGAACAAAGTGATGCTTCAAGATTGGGCTTCATCTACCCCGGCTCTGATCTCGATGGTCTGGAATTACTTATAGGGGATTGTTTATCCTACGTAGGTAGTTGCTTGACAAATAATGGTAGCATACCTAAGGGATTAACCGCCCGCATTTACATCCCACGAGCAGCTTACGTAGGACTGGTACACCTTTGGTGCCAACATGATGTCTCGTTGAAACTGAAAGCTCGCATTTACTGCGTCTGTGTGCGGTCAGTTCTACCCTGTGGTTGCGGGACCCGTAATTGCTTAGGCTCAAGCCCTCCATCCATCCTGTGCTTTCTCATTTACTTCGTATACATTATGAGCTTAGCACCGATCAACGAATGACACTTCTCTCTCTCTCTCTCTGTATCTCGATGTACGATGATGATGATGTGAAATTCCACCACCGTGAACTGAGGAAGAAACAACAGTCAACATAAGAAATTTGCTTTCACATATTCTCACGTCTGTGTTCTCAAACGAGTTCGTGTGAACACACGATTATGGGGCTACCGCTCTGCATTTAACTAATGGAAGCCCCCTCTTGCTCCTCCTCCCTCTCTCCGGCCTCGTGACACAAACCAACGCACATGTGAATGAACCGATGTACTGATGTATTTCACACACGTCTGAATCCAGACTGTGTGCCAAATTAATCCTGGTACAATAATCCTTACAAAAAAAGCGAGAAAGTTACACGATTTGTTTGTGGCCGTAATACTGCCTGCCAGGTTACCCAGACCAAGAGAAGTGAACTTTCTTGAGGAGACTTCGGTTAGCCTAAGTCTGACCAGCAAGGTGGCGGGGCCGTGTGAACTCCGTCATCCATTTCGGGTCGGTGTCTAGTTTATCGGATCATACGCCCTCTAGACGGGGTCAAACGTTCACGCTGTCCAATACACTTTGAGGAACACTGGTGCATCCAGGAAGGTGTAAGTGGGTGTCATTCGAACGCCTCTTCTTGGTTGGTTCGGAATCAGGGTTTTTAGCCAACTCCCTGCCAGTGGCTCACCGACCCGGACATGGCCGCGAATGTTGGCTTTTCGTCCTCTCACTTTGGTGGGAAAACACTTCCGCCACGAGAAGGCAGTGAGTAAGGTTTCCTCAGTAGAGGCTGTTCGAGACGCTTGGTTGTATTGGAGCATTTCGTGAGGTGGAGGGGAAGGGTGACCAGCCACGATTCAAGACACCCACCCCCGACCGTAGTACGGATGCGGGTGCATGTGTATTAATTGTGTGAGTAACATACGACGGTGGAACTGAAATACATACACACATACATACACAATACACAGATACATGAAATGCATTCGTTTCCGTTCTGTAATTAATCCGGACCTCAGTGTACATTATGATGTAACTTGTGATATATTAAGGCAGTGAATGAATCCGTAGAGAACAACCCTGGTCCCTACCGCATGCTCTTCCAAAGTGATTGTGTTTTCAGTTTGTGTAATCGAGAACCACACTTTCCGCTTCTCGTTCACTGTTTCGCAGATGACCACTTTGTTTCTGCTCCCTGTCAAACTAGCAGTTCCAAGAATCTATTGATTGCTCAGAACTGCTAATGTGCTATTTGCTTCCCCCAGTCGCTTGTATTTGTTTTAACACGGGGAACTGTGAACACTTCCCTTTATCTCTCTCTCTCTTCAGACTAACGAGTTGCCTGGTTGGACTCGGGGTTTCGGTGGTCTGGAAGTGACACCCGGTGGTATCTACGTGTGCGGATTACATGGCACAGTGGATGTATTTCATCCGACCAGTCCGATCGTTCCCATGGGCCACATACCAATTGCCGAGCGAATTCCCGGTTCACCCACATGTGTACGTTAGCTTTTTTTCGGTCTGCCAAACAAATTAATCATGCCATTAATTGAAGTGGATTACCTAGACCACACTGACTGGTCTTTTGTACACTGTTGAGCAGCATTTGTGAATTCATGCGTCTTTTCTTTCACGGTGAAAATGATTTAGTGCTGTTCCGTCCACGTTCCGTTTGTCTCATTGGGGATGAATGAGGCTAAGGGCCGATCCCGAACAGCGGACAGACAATCGACGCACCAGCGAGCAACAATTAATCGATATTCGAAGGCCTTGTGTGACAGGTCTCTAGAAGCTCCTACACGGGTGTTTTGTTCACGCTCCCGCGTCGTATTTACGCCCCACTGCCTTGTGTGTCAGACCCTTGAGTCAAAGGCTCCGGTTAGGGTTCCTAAAGAAAAACCACTTCGTCGGTGTGGGCTGCCGCGAAGTTTGTCGTGCCCTAAAGTTTTAGTCTTAAGTACCCGTCTCACTTCTGTTCTGAAGAGAAGAAAGATACCTCCTCAGAATATTTGCTCGCAATGGCTACACCCCCAACGTCATCTAAATAACTCTGACGCCAAGAAAGAAAGAAATAACAGACGGAAAATCGGGAACAAGAATTGTTTCGGAAACGAGAGCCAGACTGCTCAGATCATATTGCATTCAAGTCGCCCACAAACCGACCGCCTGTCTAAAGCGACTTCCGTCAAAACCAAAGGAGAGAACAATGGAGAAGGAGAAGAGCAGAGTTATCTACAAAATAAACTGTAAGAACTGCTCACAACATTATATCGCACAAACTGGGAGAAAACTATCAAGAAGGATCCGTGAACACCAATTGGCAGTCAGGAGATGTGACCCACTATCGTTCATGAAGGACATCAGTTTGATTCCGAATCAGTGAAAATTATCGACCAAGCCCGATCAAAACACGCCAGAGAATTTTTCGAGACGTGGCACTCTTCAATCAACTTGACAAACAGATCCATCGAAGTGGATTACGTGTACACATCGGTGCAACTCAAGGATCAAATAACGCAGCACAAAACGTCACTCCGTGACCTAAGAACAGACGGAAACCGCAATCAGGACGAAAGGACAGCCGACCCTCGCACCAGTTCAACGGTGAACCGAGTCGAACACAATGACAACAAGGTACGAGAATAGTCGGTGGAGAAGACCACATATAGAAACGAACGGGTTAAGCAAAAGACTGCCACTTCACAAGGATTGATGAGGTCACCTCGGCTGATGGGATGAAACGTTTGCAAACAAATCACCAAGCTCGGCGAATAGGCGAAATGGAACACTCCGTCTGATTTTTATTCAAATTGACAAATGTCTTTACGCGGTTACATAGATCTATTCGCGTTTCTTTTAGATTTACTAGTGTGCAACCAGTGCAACCATGAATCCAGGGGTACCGAAACCGTATCGTAGTCAACCCATACACGCAGGCGCATTCACATAACGGTAAAGGAAATCATGCATATGAGTTTCCTCAAGAAAACGGATCCTAGGATGAATTTGAACTGTCAGTAGACAAAAACTGAGAGGGAGGAATCTCCTCCGCGTACTCTTTTCGATTGTCCTCGTTATCCATTGAATAAAATTCATAGATGTCAGATGAATTAAGAAATCTATAGCGTTTTCCGTCGTTGTTGATTCTTCTCTGATGCGTTTTAACTTTGGTGTTAGCTTGTGTACCCATTTTTTTAATTACATACTAATGTGTGATGAACAGCAGACGGGGCGGATCCCGTAATCACGAAACTCTGCTGTTCAGTGATGGAGCCCGACAACCTAAACCCCACGGGACTTGAAGTGGCGAACCACATAAGACCCCGCTAGGTTTGACGTGGTATAGAACTAGGCAACAACAAAGCTGGCTACCACCAAAGTTAGGTGGCGGTCACGAGGCTCGAACCTCGGTCCATATGGTCTAAAGTACGCCGTTGCCAGCGACTAAACCGTTGCACCAATATTAGCAAAAATGTATGTCCCAAAAGCCAGGTGGTAGTTTTTGCTCGGGAAGTATGCTTGTACGAATGACGACGGAAAACAACCGAAACAAAACACTCGCGTAACGGTCACTACTGGTCAGTGTCAAACATAAATCACCAACGAGAGCATGCGAAAGAAATTACTCTCGGAGCGTTTTTTTTCCTTCTCATGTGTGTGTGTGTCTGCGTGTTTGTGCGTCAAAATAGCAACAAAAAATAGCACAAAAATTTCGGATGCGTTACTATCGCACAATTATTTATTGTCTTCCCTGTTCAACGAAACTCAGGATACTGTTATGTATTTTCCTGTTATGATTTTGTAGGGTTATCAGCTTTACAATAGTCGTTTATTTTTTTACACCTAATCGGGTAATGAATATTGCTCAGGATTAAACTCTTTTGATCACGATGATCCGTGATCACCGTCCACTTGATCCCATGGACTGTCAAATTTCATGGGGGCCTCAGTAGAACTGACTTGATATTGAACCAGTCTTTCACTGCACCGTTTATGCGTCCTGCGCTCGGTTAATCATTGGTTTACTCGTAGACCAGTACTGCTTGTGACCGGGGATCGAGATGAATTTATCATCATATCTGGATGTACTAGTGTGGTGTGCGAACCTCCCACCGGAGTCACGTCTTCCTGACTGACCTTTCAAAGATCGTAGTCAACAAATAACCCAGTACCGGAGAGCCGATATACAGTCTTACGGTCTGCTCCCTTATGACTTCAGTATGTATCCTTCAGCCAAGACTGACCATGTATGACAACCTAGACTGACCGCTCGGTTACAAATGTTCGGCTACCATAGAAATTTGACGGGAACGAGATATCAGTTAACAGCTCCAACCCACTGTCCCTTTACGTTATGTTGTACTGCTCAGAATTGTTTTGCTTTAAGTTACTCATATATTTTCAGTCATTAATTCCAGTTTTGGAGGAAAGCGTTTTGTCTTCCCTGATCTCGGAAATTGACTATTCGGATTACGTGTTATCAGTTTGGAGTCTAGCTTTCTGTCTGTGCGTGCGCTCCCATCCGACCATTCGATGTTAGTGAATACACTCCAGTTCGAGAGAACATTTCCCACATAGCAGCATTACTCCCTAGTTTATATTTGTTTACCTAATCATTTTTTTCGCTAAGACACCAGATTGTGATGGCGATCAAACAGTTCAAGTCACCGTAACTGGTTTGCTTTGGGCCCTTTGGGTCCGTGGTTCGAGCCCAGCCACCGCCACCGAATTTTGCTGGTAGGCAGCTTCGTTGTGCCTGGCTCATTACCACGTCCATACCAATGGGGCTTTATGTCATTCGCCACTCCATGTCCCGGGGATTAGGTTGTGAACAGTAGATCCTTGTGACTGTGTGGTTTATCCCTTCTATTGTTCACAATACAACTATGTGATAGAAAAGAAACAACCATAGTACACAAACGTTTATAGATTAAAAAAAATTTGGCCCACTGCTGGTCCGAAGGCTGCCAGGTTGCCCTAAACAAAGTAGAAACTGTTCTTGGGGACTTTTGATTAGCCGAAGCCTAAATCGTGTGTGTGAAAGTCTCTGTCGATTAGGTTGATTCGTAAATCCTATGGGCGCATGTAATTCATTCATCCATGCTGCCGTATAAGCAAGCCCTTTACACACAGCTATCCTTGCGGCCGGGATCTCTTGTTTTCAATTCTTACGGCCATCCTGATGAGGTTTGGAATCAGGATTTTATCGGCTTCCCCAATTATGCCGGTTACCGGTGGCTCATCAACTCGGCGATAGCACTGGATATCTGGTGTAACTGTACCCTCCTGATTTGTGAAAAACAGAAGTCACTGGAATGGACTAGTGTCAACACGATTTACATGGTCAATGTATGATACACAGATCAACAATTATTAGATCTATCGATACTGGTAAGGTCAATAACAAAATCGACCAGTCACGTGACATCCGATGTGAGTGAGCTCCGGTGTGTTTTGAGAGCTCTCATTACAATGTCAGTTTTAGTGATAACAACGTCGACACGTAGAGGCATTCTTTTGTATTTCTTCATCAGATGCTTTGAGGAGTCAGCTTCGTGTGAGCATTTCTTGCCTTGAGAACGAGGCCTCGCCCGCGCTCTCGTAGAAGCTGTTTTTTTTAAATTGCTCATGTGTGAATCATTAACTTTTCATCAAGTGTAGAAATGTGGTTTGTTCTAGTGTACGTACTCACAGCACGGATATATTGTATCATGCGTAAATCCGTGCACATCACAAAGTCACTTATGTGGTGAAAAATCGTCACAGACGAACGCGCGAGTCTTCCGAATCTTGTTTTTCTCGTTACCTTGGCCATGACTCCGCGGTTCAAAGGTTTAATATGAGAATAACTTACAAGCTCATGCTTTTCTCATCCCATAGGTTCGTGTGGTGGTTGGAAAACAGTGATACATATAATTCCTTGTGTAAAATGTCACGTGATACGTGCTTCTTCCCTTGCTGCACGCAGCTTTACTTATGTTGGAATGTAAGGTGTGCTAATTTTTCATTGAGTCTCAGTTTGAAAGATTCAATGCTTGGAGCACAGACGGCGTAGGATGGAAGAGAGTTCCAGATCGAACACACTCTGACTGCAAATGACTGACGCCGGCATTCCAAGCGGCATTTTGAGACCACTAATTTGAATGGATATCCTCTAAGATGAACGTTGGGTGATTGAAATACAACCCCGATGTATCGACTTGATTAGAAAAATTAATCACGCTACAGGTTTTGCTCCGGTTCGGTTCGATTAACCTGTACACCCACGTGACAAATTACACAGATAACCTTCGAATGTGCTTTGCCCCGACTTTGGTCTGATGACATACTTTGAACTTTGTTGTTATTGTTCACATGCCGCCTCAAAGCGCTCCTCGTCCCATTTATTTGTGCGTCATCTACCCTTATCGTCCTTGAACGCTCGCTGTTCCACGCTTGCCAATCTCGTGCGTCATTACTTACGAACTACCCTGGATCCGTGCCCCCACTCACGTTTGGTTCTAGTTCAT